TTCTCCTCCCACTCCTTCTCTGACCTGCTCCAGCATTGTTTCCTTCCAGGTTCTTCTCGCTTTTCCTTCTGTCTCTTACTTTTTTTTTCATTCTATGAGTCTCTCTGCCCACCCTCCCCCCATCTTCTCTCCATACACTGAGTCCTTTGTCTTTTCATTGCTGTGTAACTGAGAGTGACATGTTTGGCAGTTCCTCTGCGCTCTCCTCTCATAAGGAATTACTGTCCTGACCCACTTTCACATTGCAGCCGCTGCTGCATCTGCATGGCTGTGGAACAATTTGTTACTAACTGCCAAAGGGAAAAATGTGCTACCTCAATCCATGGGTTATAAAAGTTCAGATTTTTTAGTCTGGCTGATGAATATGAAATTGAGAGAAAAATGGATGTCCCTTTGCTCCACCCACTAAATTTAATTTTGTTTGCCGCATGGAGACACATGTACCTGTATACTAAACAGGGATTCAAGCTACATTAATCAGTACTATTATTGATATTAACACCAAATGTCTCCTTGTGGTGTTAAATGGTTGTTAGTACTACAGATCGCATTGCAAATCAACAATTCATTCTGCAGCTCTGTGCAGCTTTAAACCATATCAAACTGTGAGCACAGAAGGGGCCTAGCAAGAAATGGCAAAAATGAATTTAAAAATAGACTGATGAAGAAAGCTGAATATGTTGCAATATAAAGATATTTTAAACTGCATGGCAGAACAAATTATTTCTGGATGTGTGACAAGTTCATTGCAAACAGAAGCCAGAAAAACTTCTGAAACCTGACATTCACTGAGTGGAACCCTGACAGCAATCTGATAATGGTTTTGGTACTTGATATAAAACTCCAACAAATGGTAGGCAAAACTGTTTAATTTGTCTTGTGAACCTCAAATATTTATAACAGTTTTAACCAAATTTTACAGTCATCTAAAGACAAAACCAACAACTATATTTAATGTAATGCAAAAAACATTTCTATTTCATCTGGTGCGTTAAACTGGGGGACTTAAATCATCTTCCCCTAAAAGGTTTTGCCCAACCTTTACAAACATGTAACTTGCACAACCAGAAAGGTTAATGCTGTGGTTAGCCTTTAAATCAGTTCAGTCATCTACGGATGAAACCTTAAACCTTTGTCAGAAATTACTTAATGCAGCTTTAATGTGGTGGCTGGATGAAAAAGTTCAGGGGACTCATTTATAAACATTGCACAAGAAGGCATACAAGACTTTCAAAGCAAACTTTGGGATTATTAAAAAAACGTTATTATTAATATAAATTATTATAAGTAGATCTTTGAGTGTACAGTTTAGATCACATAAAATAAGTCTTATTTCTTTTTACTCCTCGGTAATCTTCTTAATAAAGTCGATGGCGTCTCTGTTTGTAGGACAGCATCTACTTGGCCGCTGGAGGGTTGAGACGCAGAAGGTGCAGAGGAGACGCCACCGACAAAAACAACAAAACAATAGATAATGTCTCATTTGTTTGTCTAAATAAATGTTTTAACACAACTTGAATACATTTGGTTTACTCTATTTTTAAACGAAGAAATACAAATTACGGACCTAAGTCATCTGTGCGTCTTGCATATCTGTGTCACTCCACCTCCATCACTACTCGTTTCATTCCTGCAAGTTGCTCACCAACATGGCGGAGCCCCGGTATCCCGTTTCCTCTGGGGGACATTCACTCTGTGTACCAAACAGTGTCTTATCTCTTGCTTCTGCCTCTCAATTTTACACTGGGTAAAATTTCTTACTTTTCTTTTCTTGTCAGAATTTGCCGTTACTGTCTTCATGCAGTTAGTATGTGTTAATACTGTATTATTATTATTTATTTTTTGGATATTTATAGGCAACTAACACTGTTAAAAGGGTTGGACAAAAAACTCACTCACAAATTTGGAGATGATTGTGATTTTTAAAGGGAAATTGGTGCGGGACGTGCAAGGTGCACTATGTTAGAAATCTGAATGTGTTTGTGTGTAAGCACTCTCTGTGTTTTGTCCAGACGCAACTTTTTGACGTCAATCCTACGCATTGAATCATAAATAAGGCCCCGGATCTTTTATGTGGAAAAATACACCGACAATTTTTCCAGTGATTCCCTTATGGCTGGTCTCCTGTTTGGAACACATTTTCAAGCAGAATACCTCTTTGAGTGGTCAGAGTAGCAGCAATGCTGAGTTGTTCACTGAAACAAAGATGAATCCATACATATCATAACTTTCAGTGTCACAGGATGGATGAAAATCAGATTTGAATCTTGAAAATCACATTTGCATATATGTGATCATTGGCAGCATTGTGCCTTAAACTGTGAGGAAAACCAGATATGACTCTGGCTGTTATTAAAATATTTCAATTATCTTTCTCATTATTCATACAGTACTTCATTATTTTGGGATCTTGTAAATCATTTACATAGTGATGAATGGAACTTTTTAATTAGTTTTTGCTGCTGCCTTCAAAACAAAGCCCAGCAAAAAAAAAAATTCTTTATGACCTTTATGTTTAAAGGTACGAATAAATTAATTTTTCTTTACCCTAATAGGTTTTCCGACATTCCTATGATTAACTGTTTCCAGTGTTTGTGCTAAGCTAAGCTAACTGCCTGCCTGTAACGTCATATTTACCATACATTCTCATCTAACCCTCGATAAGCAAGAGAGCATTTCCCAAAATGTTGAGGTATGCTTTTACAAATAAATAATAAATTAATAATAAATTTAAACTTCTTGGAACTCCTCAATTCCTAAATATTGGACTAACCCTTAAAATTGGAGAGCTGAAAATGTCCAGTTTGCCCAAAGCTGGTTCTCTTGAGGATAAAATAAAAGCACCCACCATCCCACACACCCACACAACTCAAACAAACTCCACACACAGTCAGTAGACCTGGCAGTATAATGTGGATTGGTGCCATAATCTGTGGATGCCACATTTCGCTGGGCTCTGTGACATTGCAGAACTTGTGGCTGAGGGAGTTTCACACACTGCTTTCACTGTCTGCTGAGGCTGAGGCTATGTTCCCACACTACTACATTGGCATGTGTTTTATAGCTGGTTAGAGAGAGCGCTTCATATGCTGCTTCATCTATCTGTGTCAGAACGGAGGGAGAGCAGAGTATATATTATTAGTAATATTTAAAGGAAAAACTTAACTTGACCTGTTTGAAAGGTAAAAACAAAGTGGACAAACATCTGGAATCAAGTATTGTTTGTTGTTCAGGTAAGTGGCATCCAGCAGGAGAAAACAGTTTGACTGCTTTCAAATTACCTTAATCAGTCTTACCTTTTATTTTTTCCAATTTGGAACAGCTTTCGAGTCGTGTGGGAGAAATCAAACACACTTTAGCCAGCTCAAACAATAATCAGTTATATGTGTTTTTATTGATGAAAAGCTGCTCTTTGTTTCAAAGTATCAGTGTGGGCACTTAGTCTTTTACTCTGCTTCCTATTTGATACTCTTTTCCATAAAATTACATTATAAATGAAGAGGAAAATCCACTCCTTTGTAAAATAATAATAATAAGAACAACAACAACAATAACAGTAATAATAGTAGCTTTTTTCTTTCTTTCTTCATTTATGCTTCACAAAAGATGAAAAATACACATAAAAAGACTGATACAGGAAATGCAAACATTAAAAACATATCAGGAAGAATACAAAATTTAACACTTTGCTTTTTGTACTCATTTATTTGATGGGGTGATACACATGTAGGCATTGGTACATTTAAATAAAAAGCAACCGATGCAATGTATATAGGACTTTTAGGCTTAGCTGATTTGAAGTCCTTGGGTCTGGTTAAGTTAAAACACATGATAAAACACTCTAATACAAGCATAGAGACAAGCAATAAAAAAAAGACAGACTATTACTGGTTACTGAAAAACAAAGAGAAAGCTTTTGCTCAAACCATGTTTTTTTTTAGTAGGGAAAGCTTTAAAATCAGGAAATTTTCTGTGGGCCTTTAACTGGAAAATTAGACTTATCAAATGTTTTGTGTATTCCTGATTACAGTCTACCCTAACTCCCTCCCTAGTAGTTGCTCCTTTGTCTTTTTTTCAAACAATCAAAAACAGTTAAGGTTAGTCTTAGACACTTTCCTATTATGTGCATCACATTTTAACACCTACAAATTTGAACTGATTTACTTCATCTATTTCTAATTAATAATTAATGTTAAATCATCACAGATTTTTCATCTTATGAGAAAAAACATTTTAAAGTTGTTTGTTGGAATTTATTTTGGAGCCACTGCAAGACACAGATCAGTTCACTTTCCAGTAACTCTGCAGCCTGTTGTGGAGTCTTTGTCGATACATAAATGATTGCATCATCAGTATACAAATGGCACCTAACCTCTTTGCAGCAGTCTAGCAGCTCATTAAAGTACAGGCAAAAGAGTAATAATCTCAGGGTGGAACCTTGTGGTATGCCCATTTTGTCGTTTCGAAGAGTAGATGTCCATTCATTTTGACACATTGCTCTTGGGATTCTAGCTATGTTATGTTTTAAACAAAGGTGGGATTATCTCATTATTTCATTTCACAGCCAAACACCCATTTCTAGGCTAAATACACTAAAAATTTTTGTTTTGGCGATTTAAAGTTATCTTTGAAGACAAATGCACATGTGGGTAATGTAATCCACATTCCTGGCATTGGTCTCATGCTTTGTTGTTTCTGTTCTAGGAGGCAAAGACCTATGCAGTTGCCTCGCCGTTAGCTCCTCTACATTTATGCAAATGTATGCAGGAATTGGTTAATAAACGGGACGACCTCAGTGCCTGCATCAGGAGCTGTAATGTGGTGACTCTTTTTCTGTATACTATCTGACAGAACAGAGGACTCTGGCAAGAAAAAGTAGTAGGCCTGTGCTTTATGGTGAATAAGGTTTGGTGTGACAGTGGCAAAATTTAAATGCTATCCCGTTTCTGCTCACCTGATCTGGAGTTATTGTCAATCAAATGCAGACCGCACTTTCTACCATGGAATATACATCGGCCATCGTCACAGCGGTCTACATCCCACCACAGGCGAGTACAGAGTACCCTGTCAGATTGGTGCAAAGACTTGAACTTCTTCCATCAACATATTAACTTTGCCACAAGTGGAATAAACACTCTGTGTCACTGCTACATGCCATTCAAAAACAGCTACAGAGCAGAATCGCCATCCGTGATCAGGAAGAACGACCAAAACACACACACTGCAGTCTGGAAACATGGACAGTTATATAGCAGCAGCCAACAATGCAACACTAAGCTGATGGTGGACCGCCCCCCTAATATCATTTTACATGCACGTACAAACATTTTTAGTAAGTCCCCAAAATACAATAGTTGCAGCTGTAACTTTGGAAAATGGCCCCTTTGTTCAACTAAATCAGTCTGCTAAAACATAACAGCTTCAGATAAACTTAAACAGAATATACCTCTGCTTGGAGGACTGTGAATTTTGTTCCCCATCACATACACTGAAATCTAAAAAATGTAAAATACAATATCAAAATGAAAGAAAAATAAAACTCAAATTTCCCAATCAAAATAACTGTTTTCTCTATATCGAAGCAATCCAAAGACTATCTCTTTGACTGTCTCTCCCTTTCTGCACCCTCCCCTCTGCAGTGGACATGCAGCATTTAATGTGGTTGATGCTGGTGATCCTATTGATGGTGCAGTCTGTGGAGGGCTGTCCTGATGTCTGTAAATGCTACAGGAAGTCCAGTCCAGATAAATCAGAGGTCAACTGTCACAAGAGGGGACTTCGTGCCTTTCCCTCCGAACTACCCCCTGATGCCTGGATCCTCAAACTAGGTGAGCACCTTGTGGTTAATCAAATCATCCCTTTCATTGTTGTGATGTTCTAGACACTTGATAACGTATCTGATATTTGCTGTAAGTAAACATGAGCATTGTGGACCACAACCACATCACTAACATTCTCAATGCTGTTTGAAGGTGAGAATGGCATCACAGACCTGAAGGCCAATGCTCTGAGATCAATTCCAAAGATTGAAAGTATCAACCTGCAACGAAATGCCATCAAGTTCATCCACACCAAAGCTTTCTCAGGTGCAAAACAGTTGATGCTTCTCAATCTCTACGGCAACCACATCACTGACCTTCCACTGAGAGGATTCAAGGTAAAGAGTCTGGAGAGGAATAGATTAAATGTACAGCAATCACACTGCAGTAATCTGACCACAAAACTGTTGTTCCTTCCATGTCTCTAGGACCTCCTGAACCTTCGCTTCCTCATGCTGGGACAGAACCAGATTGGTGTCCTCAAACCCGAAATGTTTGCCGGAATGAGGAACTTGTCAGATTTAGACCTGCCTCTCAACGCACTGACAACGCTCCCATCTAACACCTTTAAGCCTCTGATCGCCCTCAAAGTTCTGGACCTTTCTCTGAATCGTATCCAGAGGATTTCTCCTAAGGCCTTCACTGGACTCAGACAGCTCATGTTCCTCAACTTAGACAATAACAGGTTACATCACATCGGCCATGCGCCTCTGGTAGATGCTTCTATAAACCTAGCAATGCCAAATCTAGTGCTCTAAGTGATGCCATTACGTAGAAAGAGTTTCTAGTGTGGATATGTGCAGTGCACCTTCTTGCTATGAGGCGACCTTGCTAACTACTACACTGCCGTGCCACCCTGTTGTACAGTGTATTGGTGTTAATTAAATATTTCTTAATTTCTTCAAATCCAGCCTGAAGAACATTCCTGCTGGTGCATTCCGACCGCTGCAATCTCTGGATATGCTCGTTCTAGACAACAACCTTCTGTTCACATTGAGCCCATTAGCTTTGGATGGCTTGGACAACTTGCAGGTAACACCGTGACAGTGTCAGTTTACAGTGTCAGTAAATTCAGACAGTTAGGTAACCATACCAGTAAATATTTTTATATCCATTTGAATTCAACCACCTCTTACACATGGCTGTTGTACCATATGAGACTGCATTGCAATATTCTTATTGTGCATTCAACTAAATCCCACAAGAATAAAATAAATGTACTGAATATTGAATCAGGAGCTCTACCTGAGGAACAACGAGCTGGAGCACCTGCCACCTGATGTATTCAGGAATATAAGAAAGCTTTCTCAGTTGGCTCTTAGTGGAAACCGCCTGAAGACAGTGGATGGAAACATGTTCAACCATATGCCTGGTAACACCAGCCTACCTTTTCACTTTCCCATTTTTACAGGAACAAATGAGTGACTCATAATAGTAAATGTAGAAATGACTACATTGTTTACTGACACCAGTATGATACACTTTTAGTGACGGTTTTTCTTTTCTAACCCCTCTCAGACTTGAAGAAGTTGTACCTCCATGACAACCCGTGGCAGTGTGACTGTAACATCATCTCCTTGGTGCATTGGATGGGACAGACAAAGGCCACCCTCTCGCCTCGGGATGCCCTGAGGTGTGTAAGTCCTCCAGAGCTCCGAAACAAGAGCTTCTCCAGCCTCCAAGCTGACAAGTTGCTCTGCCTTGCCTAACACAACAAAACCTGGATGAAGACTACAGCGTGGGTTCGGGTGCAATGAAGATTCAGATGATGATACTTTTACTCAAAACATCTTTTTACTACTTCTGGGCTGGTGCTTGTAGAGGGAACTTTTTTCTTAAATGATTTCTTAAAGCAGCATATGAGATTCATGTATTCAGCTAAAAACATTGCATAAAATATATATGTATATATATATATATATATATATATTAGGTCTGTGAAACGATTAATTTTTTCTTAATTGCAATTAATCACTGAATTTCAATAATTAATCGATTAATCCCATGTTTTATCACATGATTAAAATTTTATTATTATTATTATATCATTATTATTATTATTATTATATCTCTTAAGTCTGTATTCTTACCAGTGTATCTTGATTGGAAATCAAATTAATGCAAAGAAAGTTAGTTTATGAACTTGACTTTAAGATTAATGTGATTATTTCAAATCAAAAGATGTGCAATGAGATTGAGGTAAAACAATCAATGCCTTCAGAAATATAGTCTTCCCTAAGCTTGCTTTCAAAAATTCTGTGCATGTACAAAATGTACACACATTATTATAAAGTGCATAACAAACAAAATACTCCATAGCTACATTATTTCTGTGTTTAGCTGAAAACAATTAGACAGCACTTGCTTTAAGTAGGAGTTTCAGTTTGGCTGCTTTCTCTGTTTCATACAGGCTATGTATGCGTGCAACTATTGTCCCTGGTGACGACAATGTATATGACTTGCACTCTCCAAAATAATGCTTTGCCACAACCTGTCAAACCCTAGCATCAACCCGATTAGCTGTACTAGCTGCATGCATAGCTCATTGATGGTAACTTTAGATTAAGCTCAAAGTGCTACGGTGATATTCTAATTCCATTTTACACCAGGCGCATACTGCGTTTGACTTGTCAATGGAGCCGTCTGGGAGTTTCTTAAAGTAAAATGCGCCATTCAGGACTGTGTTGTTGTTCATCTCCATGGCTGCAGCAGGAGGTAGGAAGTGTCTGTGGTAGCATGACAACAAGTAAGGGTGCATCGAAGTGATGGTGTAAAACAAGAATATTTGACACGTGATTAACACAATTAAAACACGTTATGATCAGCCTTAATCTCATCGCAATTAACACGTTAATGCTGACAGCCCATATATATATATATATATATATATACGGAAGTGAAATTCAAAGGGGTGTTGTAGACTGCTGCACAAACCTCAGACACAAAAACTGACTGGAAATGCTTTTTGGTCCCTGGCTCCCATATTGTACGCTCCAAATTCAAAGAACATTATATCCACGCGTTCCCTGAACTGAGTTGCATCTAGTGATGTAGGCCACACCTTTTTTGACTATAATTTGTTTTCGCAAAAATGGAAAATGCGCAAAATCTACTTTTTGGAATTCCTCCTAGGCGGTGAGTCAGATCTGCACAAACTTGTGCACACAGACTTTATGGACCCTCCTGATCAAAAGTTATAAAAAATAATTTTGATAAGGCAAAAACTAAAGCTGTTTGCAAGATTTGGCACTAATTAACTCCTAGGTGGTGCTTTTGTGGCAAATCACGAATAAGCTAAGATTATTTTTCCAAATCACTCTTTCTGAATTAAATGTTTTCCCATCTCTGTGCTGCTCTCTACCTTGCTGTCACACTTGTGGGACTTCAGGCTTGACTTGCAACATCGCTGCGGGTCACTAGGCGTGGCTTGCGCCAGGGGGCTTGGAGCCCATTGATACTGTTGTAGCAGAAAATTTATTTTACCTATACGCATTCTGATAATCATATGTATCTACTTTGTGTACCTAAATTCACCTTATGGTTTCGACTGAGGATATCAGTGTGTGTGTGTCTTTATATGTGGAATTGTTTTGCCCTGTGCCTACTCTATACCCGTGGGATCCTGAGATCAAAGACTGAGAACGGCCCCTCTGTAGATTTCACAAATGTTCCCCTGCTTTAAATGTTTTGATTGCCCTTTGCTTGGGGCCAGATGCTCCAAGCCCAGCTGAATCATTTGAGTACGTCTCTGTTCTTTTCTCACTTTAATAAATATCAAAAGCCAACTGTTTGTTGTAACTTCTTTTTTTTTTTTCAGTTGTCCACAAGAAATATATGATTTCCACCGCAGATACCTGCGTGAAGATCTAGTTATTATAACTATTATTTAAGTTCATGGATATTTGTGTTATTACGATAACAATTCAAGCATAGTGTTAGTTCAGCAGACACACACCGTGGAAGATGATGAGCATCACCAAGATGTCAGGTGTTGTCTCAGATTGTTGATCTTAAAGGTAATTTCAATCAAATAAACATCATCATCTACAGTGAGGAAAATAAGTATTTGAACACCTTGCTATTTTGCAAGTTCTCCCACTTCATGGAGGGGTCTGAAATTGTCATCGTAGGTGCATGTCCACTGTGAGAGACATAATCTAAAAAAAAAAAATCCAGAAATCACAATGTATGATTTTTTAACTATTTATTTGTATGATACAGCTGCAAATAAGTATTTGAACACCTGAGAAAATCAATGTTAATATTTGGTACAGTAGCCTTTGTTTGCAATTACAGAGGTCAAACGTTTCCTGTAGTTTTTCACCACTCCTCCACACAGATCTTCTCTAGATCAGTCAGGTTTCTGGGCTGTCGCTGAGAAACACGGAGTTTGAGCTCCCTCCAAAGATTCTCTATTGGGTTTAGGTCTGGAGACTGGCTAGGCCACGCCAGAACCTTGATATGCTTCTTACAGAGCCACTCCTTGGTTATCCTGGCTGTGTGCTTCGGGTCATTGTCATGTTGGAAGACCCGGCCTCGACCCATCTTCAATGCTCTAACTGAGGGAAGGAGGTTGTTCCCCAAAATCTCGCAATACATGGCCCCGGTCATCCTCTCCTTAATACAGTGCAGTCGCCCTGTCCCATGTGCAGAAAAACACCCCCAAAGCATGATGCTACCACCCCCATGCTTCACAGTAGGGATGGTGTTCTTGGGATGGTACTCATCATTCTTCTTCCTCCAAACACGGTTAGTGGAATTATGACCAAAAAGTTCTATTTTGGTCTCATCTGACCACATGACTTTCTCCCATGATCCTCTGGATCATCCAAATGGTCATTGGCAAACTGAAGACGGGCCTTGACATGTGCTGGTTTAAGCAGGGGAACCTTCCGTGCCATGCGTGATTTCAAACCATGACGTCTTAGTGTATTACCAACAGTAACCTTGGAAACGGTGGTCCCAGCTCTTTTCAGGTCATTGAGCAGCTCCTCCCGTGGAGTTCTGGGCTGATTTCTCACCTTTCTTAGGATCATTGAGACCCCACGAGGTGAGATCTTGCATGGAGCCCCGGTCCGAGGGAGATTGACAGTCATGTTTAGCTTCTTCCATTTTCTAATGATTGCTCCAACAGTGGACCTTTTTTCACCAAGCTGCTTGGCAATTTCCCCGTAGCCCTTTCCAGCCTTGTGGAGGTGTACAATTTTGTCTCTAGTGTCTTTGGACAGCTCTTTGGTCTTGGCCATGTTAGTAGTTGGATTCTTACTGATTGTATGGGGTGGACAGGTGTCTTTATGCAGCTAACGACCTCAAACAGGTGCATCTAATTTAGGATAATAAATGGAGTGGAGGTGGACATTGTGAAGGCAGACTAACAGGTCTTTGAGAGTCAGAATTCTGGCTGATAGACAGGTGTTCAAATACTTATTTGCAGCTGTATCATACAATAAATAGTTTAAAAAACATACAGTGTGATTTCTGGAATATTTTTTTTTAGATTATGTCTCTCACAGTGGACATGCACCTACGATGACAATTTCAGACCCCTCCATGATTTCTAAGTGGGAGAACTTGCAAAATAGCAGGGTGTTCAAATACTTTTTTTCCTCACTGTACATGTTAACTTCATTCCAAGATAGTGCCTGCTGGCCTACCAAGTCCTACTAAGTCCTACTAGTGGACTATTGCATCGGACTGTGAAACTTCACATGCCAAGAAGAAGAATGGAAATCTTTTGGTAGGATACGGGTCAATGGATTAAACGGCCGTAAATATTTTTCATCTTGGCTGTCTCTAAACCTTTACAGCAGCAATCACATTTGGGGAACACAATGTATCACCTGATTTACTTTACTTGACTCCCTGATGTTAAATCTTAGTCAGTCTGAGCGTGATCTCTTGTCCACCGCTTTGTAAGAGGCTTTTTTAGGTGATGATGAAGATGAGCTTCTTGATCTTAAGGATCACATGGGAGTAAGAACAATACCAACACAAGAGAACTTGAAAGCTGTGCTTCTCCAACTGGCCCACAAGCAAAATAATCCAGCAAACAAAATATGCCCTGGATAACACTGGATCAGTCGCAGGACCAACTCTCAGGAAGTTCCTACCCAGTGTGCTGGATATGCAGAAGATGTATAAAGATATTAAACATTCAGCCCGAAAGATATTAAAGTTGATCACAGCCTCCAGCAGAGAACCAAAGTTTGCAATTTTTTACATCAGTACTTTAGGGATTGGATGAAATAAAGACTGTTTTCTTCCATGGTAAGGCAACAAATGTCAATCACTGTATTGCGACAGGGATATGGTTCTATCACAGCATCCTCCCTGCCACCCTGTCTTTTTTTGGATACCTCTTTAAGGTACTCCCTAGCACCAAATAGTAGAAGTCATCTCTGGAAGTCCACCTGGAGAGCAGCACTTCTGCATGGGCGTGGCATGGGAGTGTTTCAGTGGTGAACAACATCCTGCAGTGTTCTCAAACACTGCTTGTGGTTCTTCCTTCAAAAACCTTTTCACATGATGAACACAAAAGAAGTAACAAATGTAAACATTTGCACACATTTTTATTCCTTAGTGTGCTGTACAGTACAACACACCAAACAACTAATTATTCTTCCCCAGCATCCCGTCTTTGCTCTGGGACAGGCCAGAGATTCTTGTTCTCCACCTCCTCCTCCTCCTCCCTACTCTTCCACCCTACTCC